TTAAGTGGGAAATAATTAGAGAATGAAGTTGGAACAATTTACAACATACAAATATTTTTGCAAATCTATCTTTTTGTTGATTTCAGTTCACTTTTTCTTAAGCTATGCAGAACAATTTTAATTTCTAAAGTAGCACCATGAATTTAGCAGCCCATAGCTATAGCAAACCCTATGGCCTCCTCCCTTTTTTTCCAATTTGCACCTTCCCATTTAGAAAACACCAGGGTGAGAAGGAATCCATGAAATCTGCTGAGGCTGGTGGCTGCAGAGCCGGGAGTGAAGGTGAGAAGCTGCCACTGCCCGTAGCAATGAGCTCTGTGTCTATAGAACTGCTGTAAGTGAGCTGCTCATCTGTGTTTCCATTTTACTAGATCCATATGGAAGTCGTAAAATCACTCCATCATAATAAGCTCTTGGGCTGATTTCCAGTTTAATGTTAACCTGGAAAGTTTGCCTTCTTGTAAGTTAAACTGGTTAATGAGCCATGGAGAAGGAGGAGAAAGAGAAGGAAGAGGAGGAAGGAGAGGAGAGAAAGGGGTGGGGAGGGTGGAGAGATGTGATAGATGGCTTTCTGTTATTATAGGTAAATACTGGAGGTAAATCAATTTATGAAGAAGAAATGTTTATTTTGGCTCAATTTTGCAGGTTTCAGTCCATGGCCATTGGCCCCATTGCTTTAGATCTGTCATGGCGCAGTGTGTCACGGCAGCAATGTGTAGCAGAGATGGCCTAGTCACCTCATGGCTGATGTAAAATTGAGAGAAAGAGACCCAGATCCCACTATCCACTTTGAGGGCAGCCCCCAAATGAACTAAGGCCTTACCCACTAGGCCCCACTTCTTAAAGCTTCCACCACCTTCCACTAGCACCAAGCTTGGGACCAAGACCTTAACATGTGGGCCTTGGGGACATTCCAGATCCAAACCATAGCAAGGGAGGAGAGAAGAAATGAAGGCTACCCTCCCTGCAGAGTTCAGTCCTCGTTTTTATGAAGATTCAAGATTTAAGAAGAAGATTTTAGTTTGTATTATATCTGTAACTATCAAATTCTCCTGTTAGTGTGTACTTACACACATTAATACAGTAAGCAGGCCTTTGTTTTGATTTAAAAAAAAAAAGCTTTTAATAAAAATAACAACTTGAAAAATTGTAAAAAAAGAGAAATATTTAACAACTTTGTTTCTTATAGTAATTCTATTCAATAATTACTTATTAAGAATCCACCACATATGAGACACTGGACTAGAATGGCATCAACACACACATATGTAAACAGCAACTAGAAAAAACTCTGTACATACAGTTCCAAATTCTCCTTTTCTAGACAATTAAATTTCAGTCCTATAGGAGAAATGTGACTTTCATGAAGAAACACATGTAATTACTAATGGCTGGGTAGAAGATGGTCTAGAGTTAAGATAGGTTCCCAGTTCTCATAAATATATACAGATATATATATATATATATATATATACACACACACACACACACACACACAGAATATACGCTTGAAATTCTATTTTTGAGAACCAGAAACCTATATGTATTTGAGAACAAAATACATACATATGTATATATGTATTTACATATATATATATGTATGTATTTATATATATATATATATATATATATTTCTCATTATGACCCTTAAGAAGAACATTAAATTAAAAAAGTGCATAAAACACACAAGACTACTTCCAGTCTCTGCTGAAACCTCTCAAAAACCTCGTAAAGGGGTTTTATTTTTTTAAGACAGAGACCAACATGGACAGGGAAATGAAGAACAATAACAAAGTCTGGGAGACTGGACAAAAGGGATGAGCAGCCAATGACACAGTAGAGCCGAGAAACGGAGCAAGTCTCTATGTCTGGCCGTGTAGGTTGTGACATGCCCCTCCAGGGCCACTGCTCACAGGCAGCAGAGGGAAGGCGCGCTCTGGAGCAGCCCAGGGCATGCCCTCCACCTCGGCCACCCAGCCACCGTGTGCTGAGATTACTGGGATAGCAGCCAGCCGTGGGGAAGGAGAACCCTCCCAATTTGCACCAGGAATTCCCCAAAGATCGAAGATTGAAAGCACCATTTGGCTCTGAAGACAAAGAATAAAGATGAAAGATTTGTATATTAAAATATATATGGCTGGGTGTGGAGGCTCCGCCTTTAATACCAGCACCTCCAGAGGCTGAGACAGGAGGATAGAAAGTTCAAATCAGCCTCAGCAACAACGAGGTGCTAAGCAACTCAGTGAGACCCTGTCTGTAACTAAGATGCAAAATAGGGCTAGGGATGTGCCTCAGTGGTCGAGTGCCCCTGAGTTCAATCCCTGGTATTCCCATCCCAGTATGAGTGTGTGTGTGTGTATGAATGTGCATATACACAAAAAGATGAAGAAACAAAGATTAAACTCCCTACAGTGTATAGTCCTCATTTTTATCTCTAGGAATAAGATTTTAGTTTTCTTTTGGTCAAATTATATTGTTATATTGTGTGCATGTACAGATATACAACAACAAATCCCATCATTATGTACAACTATAATGCACTAATAAAAAATGTGAGAAAAAAAGATTCCAGTTTTCATTATTCTGTGCTTGTGAGTGCATGTGTCCGGCCTAGAAAGTATTTCGTTGTGAATTGTGAAGCAAACAGCTTCACTTTTTTCTAAATGACTCAATGTATTTGTAGACTGCCACCATTTTCAAATACTAAATCCTTTAACTCTAAGAAGCTAAAGCTGCTTCCAAAGTTATACTCTAGCTGTTCATCTTATTATGTCCCTGGGAGCTTCGTGCACTTAGGGGTCTTGGAAAAATATCAGAGCTTAGTCTTTGGGTTGGTATTCCCCTGTGAAACACTCCATTTCTCTAAAACTGAGTCTTCAGGCCATAACTCTTTGTTAGGTCTCTTTATTAGTCTGCTTTTAAAGCATCTTAGGAATTCACTGCCGTTCATGAAACTCATATATTTTCCTTAACTGGGCCTCAACATGGAAAAAAATATCAGTGGTTATCAAAGCAAACATATTAAAACTACCATCATTCTTTAGCACTTAGACATTTTTGTTGGTCTTTTAATTGCATGTTTCTTCTGCAGGGCAGCAGAATGTACAAAACCTTCTGGGTTTAAAGCTGCCTCTGTGCAGCCCAGCTTGCCAGCCTCCCCCATGCACACTCCCAGCTTGACTCTGCATTCCAGTCATACATACTTAAATACCCGGAGCTCCCCGTCACCTCCAGCCATCCCTGCTTGCTACTACTATTGCTTAAAAAATTACTCCATTTTATTCATCCCACCAAAATGCAGATTATTTTGGGGGACTCAGTTTAGGCAATGTACCCTGTGGGATACCTTCTTCAACCAGACATGTGGTTATGTAGCGCTCTCGCCTGCTCCTGCAGCATCTGGTACGTCTTCCATCCGAGTGCTTGACACACCATGTTGCAATTGTCATGTTGCAATTGTCTGCCTGCCAACCAGAGAATAGGTTCCTTGAAGACAGGGATTGTCTTGCTCTCACATTCCTACCATCTAGCACCTTCTTTAGCTTGTCATAGGGACTCAATAAATGTCTGAGTGAATGCATGAGATGCGTCCATTGCAGAATATTAGGAGGTAGGACTTCAAAATAAATTTTTAAAGAAAATGAATGTAACTACCCAAACTAGAGACAACTCACATTAGCATTTTTGGTTTCCTTGCTTCTAGTAAATGTTCTCCATCATCCCTACTGCGTTTAGAGCTTTGAGTACTTCTGTTTTCACTTAACACTACAGTGTTGTACTGAAAATACTGTTAAGCATTTACACATGTAACTGCAAATTCTTTGGAAACTTCACTTTAATGGTTGTAAGAAGAACATTGTCCTTTAGAAGTAGCATAGATTGTTCAGATATTTTCTGTTATTGGATTTTGAGATATCTTTTTTTGCTATTATAAAAAAATGCTTAAATGAATATTTTTTGCATCTTCATTTATTTTTTATAATACATTCTAGAAATGAAATCTCCAGGTTAAATTTCACAATTCTAACCAGGCAGTCTGGCAGAAGGATGGAATGGAATGGTGGTTACTAGAGGCTCAGATGGGCAGGAAAGAAGGGGGGATTGGGAAGAAGTTCAATAAGGGGCAGCAGAAAGCAGAATGGAGGAATTACTTCTCATTTTTCTGTACCACAGTAGGATAAATATTGGCTAAAATGATCTATGATATGTTTCAAAGTAACTCTTCTAGTCATTTAATGATTCATATTTGAAGAGATGGAAATGCTCATTGCCTTGATGTGATTAATATACATTGTATACACATATTCAGTTACCATAATATACCGCATAAAATGTACAAATATGCCTCAAATAATAAAGAAAATTCCACAGTTCTATATCAGTGTACCAACATACCTATGAATGTACTCATCAATGTAAAACCATCTTTCTAAAGAGTGAAGGTTACATAGGCAAAAAGCTGCTCATCATTTTTACCTTTGATTTATTTGTCATTTATATGACACTTTTCTGTGAATGTAACCTTTGAATATTTTTTTCTGTTGTACCCTTTTCCTAATGAACTTAAAGCTTTGTATCATTAAGAATACAATCCTTTGAGAAATTTTTTGCCAACCAGTCTGACATATGCCTTTGGATTTTATTTTATATGTTCGTAACATTTTTAAAAATGTATGCACATTTGTTGATCTTTTCTTTTGCAAATTATTCAATTACTTTTCTTTCCCTGGCAGATGCAGTCGATATATATTTTCCTACTTAGAAATAGGCTCAGATGATTGGTTTCCTTCCAACCTTACTAAGTTTGGGTTGCTGTCATTATTTAAATTTTTGACCCATTTAGAATTTATTTGGGGGCGTAGTGTGAGATGCGAGTGTTTAAGGAATGATCACTATTCCCCTTGGACTCCAAAGAAATGTTTTTAAAGCAATTCTGTTCACATAAGCAGCATGCGGAGGCAGAGCTCAGTGCTCACCATGGACTTTGCTTGTTCTCGTAGGTGAGCAGGAGCCGGCTGGAAGCAGCGACTCAGACATCTCCTTGATTATGGCAATGGAGGTGGGACTGTCTGATGTAGAACTTTCCACCGACCAAGACTGCGAAGAGGTGAAATCTTGAAATGGCGAACATAGAAAAGAGGAGGTAGTAGGACCTAAGGGGATGAGTGCTCCGATATGTGGACCGGGCACACACCTTCAGACACTCGGCAACCCCAGGACGCTCTGCTCCGTCCAAGAATGATAATGAAAGCAATACCCAAAGTCTCCTTAATCAGGATGCTGTTGCATCTCCAGGACAGTCTTTGTCCTTGATTGACAGTGTGGAAGTTGAAGGCTGATTCTTCCCTCCCGTGTCCTTGTAGGCGTACACTTCAAAAGCTCCTAAAGTAGAGAACGAAAGGAAACCTTTAGGGTTTCTTAGTTTTAATTCAATTTTTCCAAGTCTTATTGTCCTTGTTTTTCAAAGATTGATTTCTTTGGTGATTTCTTTGTAAAGACTGTGTGTAGTTTACATCTACTCGGTGTTTTGTTTTGTTTGTTTGTTTGTTTCCTTTGATTCACTCCAGCTCTCATGAAGAGTCCGGCTTGGAAGCACCAGTTCCTGTTAGGACTGGTTGATATTACATCCCTGAGACTTCTGGTCTCGACCTCTCAGCATGAACTGTGCATGGCTTTGAGAAGTGCCTCGGCACCCGAAAACAGCAGGAGGCCAGCTTTCTTAAGAATCTAAATTCTTTTAAGTGGGTCTTGAAAATCCCAGCTGCCAGAGACTCCCAACACTAAGTTCTAACTCTGCTGAAGTCGCTGCTCTCTATTTTAGGGAACATCACAGTGGCCTCCACTTTCTGGGTTCTGCCAAGGGCCACATGAGAAAGGGGCTCCATGGAGGTACACCCAGGTGTTTAGGGTCTTTGGCTAAAATTCTGAAATCAGAAGTCCCCTCCAAGGTATAAATGCCAATCTTTGGCGGCTGCTTATGAGACTGCAGACCTAAATTGAAAACCCAAGATCACGCATTCTTTCCATTGAAACCAAAATACCCATTGTGCTGATTTCCCCAAGGTTAGAGCAAGTAGTCAGCTCCTTAGGTGGGTTCTGCAGGGGATGGAAGCTTTAGAAAAAACTCAATCCTCTTTAAGCCCAGTGGTAAATACAGTGGGGGGCTGCAGTAGACTGTACCTTACTGCCTATACCCTTCTGTTAACCTCACCAGACCATGTGCAAGGATTGAGGTGAATCCTCAGTAGATAACCTTCCCAGGGGTCCCCTGAGAGTGTGCAGATACCAAGTAAGGAATGAGGTGTCACTTGATAAATCATTTGAACCAAAAAAGTACTGCATAGGAATTTGCTAAATCAAGCTAATCCTGATTAAGAAAGACAAATAAAAGGGAGAAAAGAAAGGGGTATCCAATGAGTTCTAAAATCCACCTGTGTTTTTAAAATGTTTGCTTCTTTTTTTTTTTTTTGTAACTATGATGGAAATGTGCTATTTTTCCAGTGGGTAATTTTGTAACGTATTCAGACTATCCATAATGCAGAGATGACAGGCAGTGACCTGTGTCCCCAGACAATCAGATGGGCCACCTTATCATCTCTAAGCAACTGACAATGTCCATGCTGCTGCTTAGACTAGCTACAAAGGAGAGCTTTTTCTCACTGAGCTGTATTTTCATATTTGATGAGAGCTTTTACACCTCATTGTGCTACCACTCACTGAAACACAGAGCGTGGTCCTGCTGTCCACCCTCGCGTCGGCTTCAGTGTGGAGTGCAGGTGGAGGAATACCTGCTCTCCTTTTTCCACCACCTTTAATGATTTTCCATCTGGTGGTTTCTAAGTAGGCAGCAAGCAGGGAAAATGATGCCCCCCTTCAGGCAGGCATATGTCCCTATATTTTATTTAACCCAACACTTCCTGTTATAAAAGCCAGCCTCTAGGGGTAGGGAAAACAGGCAGGAAGAAATGAGGAGAGCGCCAACTCAGGGGACAGGAGTCCTTGACCAGCTACCCCCTTGTGAGGCCCTGGCTACTCCACCTGTTGAGTGAAGAGTGTTGCAGGATAATTCCCAAAGCTCCTTCTAGCTTTCGGATCCCATTGAGCACTTGGCCAGTGGGATCCATTTTTTGCAGGTAGCCATGTCTTTTAGCAAGCAGGCTTTATAGCTAGGGAAGACATAGTGACTTGTCACATGTAATAACAGTCTCTGAGATTGGGTACTCCTGTGTGGCTGAGAAAAAGATATAAATGATATGAGTTTTAAAACCAAGTAGAAGTTGGTTTGTTCTGCCTCGTTCCGGAACTATTGTTAGTCACATAGTTCTCAATCTCTGGATACCTTTGAAGCCTCATTCTCCCTGTGGAATTCCTAATCTCAGTGATGTTTATTTTTCCTTTTCGACCTACATCACCTGTTCTTCTTTCAGTAAGCTGTGCCCACAAAACTTTTGTATTAACTTAAATATAGAGGAATTAGGGTAGGTCAACAACGATAGGAATATTACTGTATTCTATACCCAGAGAGAAAATGCCCTTGGCCTGTATAGAGCTCTGATAAGTATTTTATCTTCTTACCAATGATCAGGTAAATCAAAATTTGGTTGCATATGCAATTCTTGGCTACAGCCACCCCTACAGAATACTGAGTGGATGATATGGGAACCCAGAAGCCCATCCAAGGCCTGTAGGTCCAACCTCTAAGAGATTCTGCTGCAAACACCCCAAGCCTGTGAGATTTTTCCAATTACCAGAAGGTTTTGAAGGGCTTTCCCTGTGGCCTTGGTAATTTAAAAACAAAAAATTTTAACCACAAAATTTGTCTTTCAAAAGAAATGACAAAAATCCTTCCTGGTAGCTTTCTTTACTTTCTCCCCCAAATAAGAGATTGACCTGGGGACCCAGTGGTCCTCACATGAGGGTCAACAGGGTACATGACACGTAATGCAATCTATATGTATATTTGCAGATGTGCATTTTTCTGTAGAGAAGGTATAGACCAATATTATCCAGTAGAAATATGATGAAAGTCTATGACTTTAAATTTTCTACCAGCCACATTTCAAGAAGTAAAACAAAACAGGTAAAGTCATTTTTATAATATGTTTTATTTGACTCAGTATTTTTGTTTACATGTAATTGGTGTAAAAAACATCAAGGAACTATGTCCCATTCTTTTTTTGTACTGAGTCTTCTAAATCCATTGTGTCTTTTGCTCTCACTGAACATCTCAATTTGGACTAGACAAATGTCAAGCACTAATGGCCACTTGTCTAGTGGTGACCGATTAGGCAGCATAAGTCTAGAGCTCCTCCAGTATTCCTCCCTTAAAGAAGAGTAAAGTAAAAACCTTAATTACCTCCAGGGAGAACCACATACCACCCAGTTGCCTAATGAGAGGCCCAGAGATCCACAGATTTTGTAATGAATAAAGATTCAGCAGCCCTTTTTGAAATTTCTACTTGAATTTCTATCAACTATATCTGTTATCATTGACTGTCACTTCTCTGACCAGTTTTGTTTGTTTTTTTTTTAAGTCACACAAACCATGTGGATTTGGTGCTGAAAGAAATGTTATCCCTCACTTCTGTGACAAACCCTTAGGCTAAAAGGTGGTACTTAGGAGCCAAAGAGAATTTCAGACTGAAATCATCCAACTGTTCCTCATCCTCTAGTTCTTCTTCGTGGTTGACAGAAGGTCTGTACCCTCACCCTAAAGCTCCAGCTAGTATTCATGTATTTGGGAGGAAAGAGTGAAAAATTACATAGTAACTCTACATATAAGACTTTGTGTGGCCTTACTGAGAAAGAATCTTTGGGTCTTGTGACATTAGCCTCTGCTTGGTGGCTTGTGACCACCTCCGGCAGCCAGTTTTCCTCTCACCATCAGCATTCCCCATAACCCCAAGGCTGTGGGGAAGAAAACCTTGGCATTTGCTGAGAATAATTTAGAGTCGCCTTTAGGAATTGCTGCTTCTTGTGTGGCTAGTCCTTTTAGAAGAGCTGAGCCCTGATCATAAATATGGCATTTGAGTATTGATTGTTCACTAAGGTTTGATCAGCCTTGGAAGGTCAGCTGTAGTCACCCAGCCAAGGGGACAGGTAGAAAGTCTGGAGAAGGTAGAAAGATAAAAGCAGCAAAGACTCTGAGCTGATTTGATATCACATGGCAGGGGAGTCCTTGTGACTGTGACTGTGTTTCATAAGAGGTTTTCATGCTGTTTTCTTTTGCTGTTAGCACTTCCTCATCCCAGTGGAACACGTGGGTGGGTGCTCACGGGTCTGGGTGTGATCATCTCCAAAGTCACAGTGCCCAGTGGCCATCTCAATTTCTTCCCTGACATCCCTGTGGCTACCATACTTTCAGGACCAAACATGATGACAGATACTCTAACATAGGATTCTTTCTCATTTCTGACTTTTGTTTGGGCAGAAGCATTTTTACAGAGCATAGGAAGTAAATGGCATGTGGTTGTCCATTGAATGCATCACCTTGACTGAATGCAGAGAAATCTCACAGAATCAAAACACTTTCAGAAAATCTGGGGTATGGAGTCCCTCCCATGTGCAGCAAGCACCCACCCCTCTGTGGTACTTGGGCCACTAAGGCTATGTCCAGGAGCATTTTTCTATTCTCTTACTTGTACTTCTTTATCTTTCCTTCTCTGTGTGTATGTGTTTGTACAATAAAACACACACAGGGTGTCTGTCTGTCTGTCTTTTCCCATATTCCCTTTCCTCCTCCTTTCTTTTTTCCCATGTTCCATTTTTTCTTATTTTCTTCTCTTGCAAGAAAAAAAAAAAAAACAATCCATGGCCACAGAGTTGCTCTTGTATTGTGATTACTTGTTACTCGTGCTGGAGTTTTTCTTCTTTTTATTGTGTGCTCATACCCGTGATTCTTACTTCTGATAGGAAAGCCAGGTCACTTTAGAGGCAAATTAAGTTCCTCCTGAAACCAGGGAGCCTCACCTTCATTTCTCATATCAATTTTGTCTCAAGCGCCAACCCTTACCTTTTTTTTCTTTTTTCATATTTTCTTGTCAGAAAAGTTTCCTAGGAAATGATGGAAAATTCCAGAATGCTGTCTACATCTGTGATCTTCCACCACTAGACTTTTTGACCTTCCTAGTTCACCATGTGCCCCTAGAGTCAGGATTGTTGTACTGTATCTGAGACCCACTCATGCTTTTTAAATTGAAGCACAACAGCTGCTCTTTATAAGTGATCAGAGGGCCACTTAAAACTCACAAAGAGGCCCAAAGAGACTATCCTCAAAAAGTGGGGTCTCTCTGGTTCCTTGTGCAGTGTCCAGTGTCTCAGAAGCCCCTGTCCATGCTGTTCCATGTCCAGGACTGATGAGCACAGCTAATGATGAAGCTCCAATGGGACCAGACCCGTCCGTACCCTGCAGGGAGGTAGGAGCAGAGACTGCCAAGAGCTGGTCAAAGCAGGGCTGGAAGCTTCTGCGATGAGAAATGCCCATCACCTGCACTAAGAGCTGGTCTGAGCTTTATGGGGGGGGGGGGGCTTAAGGAATTAAATATTCATGAGCTGAAACCCTCATAATTGTGAAAATTAAGACAGCCTGAAAAATAAGTGAATTCTGAGAAGTAGGTATGAGGGTCTCCTGAGATCTCATTACCATTTACCCCTCTCCTTTCCCTGCTTTCCTCCCACCTCACAACCCCAGACCCTTCGTCATGGGAATGGTAGTGTGGAGAGATCCTTAGCCAGTCGTCCCTTTTGAGCCTTTTAATGGCACTGAGTTACCATCCCAGAACTAAAGTGAGTCCAGATCCTGGTTGTGCACCCTTTAATTGCAAAACCTGCTTGTTCTACAAGACCCTGAAGAGGTCAGTTACATCTCCTTCCCTGCCTCCTGTGCTTCTTAATCAAGTGGCTTTTCCAGGAGCCCCTGTCATCAGAGCTGGTCTAATCCTGTGCTACTATTGATGTTTGCACTTACTCCAGGGCTGTTGGCTCTGAACACCTGATACGTATTCACTGATGATAACGATAAGGCAAGAGAATGCATCTCTTCAGAGGCTGCATTCTGAACACAGGAAGAGAGAAAATCCATGGTGTAGGGCACTCCACCGCCTGAGTGACCCAGCCATTCTGGGCAGAATGCCTGTGGGCTTGTCCTTCATACTCAAGGGAGGGACTTGGGGACACAGAGAAATGTGAGGACCATGTGTGCTATATAAACCAAAGACTGATCGCCATCCAAATAGACACATGTTTCTTCCATTGACTAAATTTTCTCCTAATGTTCTCACAAATAAAAGGGAGGGGGTGTTCATTGTTAAATGAAACTTTAGGGGATTTCTCTTGCAGGCTGTTGACTGACCTTCCTAAATCTAGAAATCTAAAATAAATGACTTGTGGCCTGAGTACCACACCATCTGGAAAATCTAATGTCTAGGCCCCTTTTTCTGCAAAACTTTCAGATAAATCTAGCGCTTTATTGAACTCAGAATATTGTTCTCTTTGAGAATGTGAAGATTTTAAATAGCCAAAGAATTTTCATGTATAAGAGCTAGCCTGTGGCAGTATATCCTGCTCTTTGAAGACAATAACAAACTGTTGCCCGTTCTGATCGTCAGCAGAGCAGCTAAGGAAGACGCGTGGACTTAGCAGTCTGAATTAGTGCTGGCCTCAGAGGTACCTACTGTTCTGTAGGATGATATTGCAAGGGGTAGGGTGCCCTCTGCTGGAACAATACTGCTACTCTTTCAGCAAATTAATTTGGCTTGGGTCACCATTCCTCCCACAATTTGTTATTTGCCTTCCATCACAGTTTTCTTCCTCATTAGTTGAACATTCAGTCTACGTTTATCAAAAGAGGAAAGAATGTCACAAACTCTGAAAAGTTAAAAGTTTGAGACCTCGTGGAAGATCTTCAGCCCTTTCTCCTGCAAAATGTCGACGTGGACTCTTGCTCTGTTTGCAGAGAAGACGCCTCTAGTTAGAACATGTGTCCGGAGCTCTGAGCAGAGGTCTGCCTGACCCGTAACTTACCAGCTCGCTTCTCGTGAAATCGCGAAGGAAGATCCATAAAAGACCTTCTTTCCTGTGAATGCAAGCGGTGTGAAATGCTGATGTGTTTGGTACATGTACATACTATATTTACTTCCTGCTTTCACATTAGTAATCTGAAATGGTTGTACCAGTTTATAATTAGAAAGATTCTGGGGTGGGAGAGGGTGGGGAGGGGCTGTTATTTTTATAGTGGGATGTCCCTTATATTTAGAAAACTTGAAGTCATTTTGTATTTGTGAAAATTACATTCCAGCCATTTCCTGTGGGAAAACAATTGAAAAGTACCATTCTTTCAAATGTTCATGAGCTGGGGGAAGATGATTCTCCTGAGCAGTACATGTGAGACACCCAGTTTTGTAGGCAGCACCCAGTTTTGTAGACAGCAGACCAGACCACAACCAGCAATTGCCAGTTTAAAAATGGGGGTGGTGGCATTCCAACTCTTTTGAGCCCTTTGTATAGCACATCGTTATTTTCCACTGGGAGAAAGAAGCTACAAAGAATGATTTTTACAATTATGAACTAATCAGACATGACATCATAATCAATCTCCAGCACCTCCCTATTAGCAAGAGGGGAATCCACTGGTTTTATTTTTTCTTCTTAACACCATTTGCTCTGTTTTAAAGTGAACCGTGTTGCAGTTTGCATTTCACTAGGCTTCCAGAGGTCTTCAGTCCCATCTCATCTTTCCATAGTCAGATCAAGATCTTCCTTGATTTAGTTGCCATCTGAATCAAAAATCACACACACAAAAACAAAATACTCCCAGTGGCTTTTTCGTGGGGAGTTTTGAATTTGGACTCTGGTGAACTCCTAATTGATGAAGTAATGTGGTAGTGGATTATATAGCCATCTCACCCAAGCACTGTTTTCTGTACATAGTCATCTGCATATTCAGAGGGTGGTTAAGGCAGTACAGTTGTTCGTGTTTTATGTATAGATCTCCTTTCCTCTTCCCCTTCACAGGCACCTGCCCTACTCTTTTCAAAGCACTTTATCTCTTAATATACAAAGAAATTTGGAATTTTTTTTAAAAAAACCTGTCTTTGAAGGAATTGGTCTTCTATTAGAAGACAGATTTTTATTTTGCTTTATTCTATTCTCTGTGTGCTTGGAGAGCATCAACAGTTTGTGTCATGCTGGGCTAGTGAGGAGACAGTGAGGATGATAGTTGGTTGCAACCATACCACATGACTATTTTGTTATATAGAAGACTACAATGTAAATAAGTACAATCGTGTTCTTATGTACTGGTTAAAAAATATATATTGCAACTATCAAGGTTTTAACACAAGGGTTGTGAATTGCAGGAAATTTCACTGCAAAATTTTGTTTGGTTTTGTTTTTTAATAAAATGGAACCATATGCCTGTGTTGTGTCATCTGTATCCCCTGACACTGTCACCTGTCCTCAAGCTCCTGAAGCAGCACTATGGATTACAAAACATCTCTTTACTGCTGAATTCTCAGTATATCAAAAGACCAAAAACGATGACAATAACTGCCTCATTTCTCTCAGGTAAGTCAAGTGCCAGGCACACACCTCCTCTGAGCTCTGCTCTTCTGGTTGAATTGATTGACAGCCTTTCAGCAATTCTGAATAAGAATGGCTGCTGGATTGAGGGGGTTGCAATTTGAGGACAACCGAGTGCTAATGGGCGTTACCGTCTCAGGTAGGTTTATATCCCTAAGCAGGGCTACACTGTGGGGACATCCGGTGGGTTGGCACAGCCACATCCTTTTTTATATCCACTTGTACATTTCTAAAGGATTTCAAACAGCCATCCCTTAGGATTAGCAAGGGATTAGTGATGGAAATTTTTAAAATGAGGCTACTGGAGTGGAAAGATGGGGCAGGGAAGGACAAAGGCCATGGTGTCCCTGTTTGTTGGTGTCACCTCCTCAAAATGTGCATGCTTCCTGGGGTGGCTTACAACCCTGAATCTGGCCCATCCAAGATCCCTGACAGGTAAGTCCTCCTGCAGAAGCACAGGGCTGGACATGCCAAGTGCAGCTCAGCCTGTGTGGGGGACTTCCCCCTGACCAGGCACCACACCTGGAACTCAGGATCACATAGAATCCACTGGCAAAAACTTAAACACTCCCACTGCCGAGTGGATAACAGAAAGCACAGTTGCCCTGGAGGCTTTGCCTGGGGAGGTCCATGCCTAGTCTGTAGATAGAAAGGTGGGTCTGAGGTTCATTGGTACAGTGAGAAGCCTACACATTGGAATACACTTTGACCTCTGCTCCTGCATCCACATGTTACCCACTGTCAGCTGTGACACAGACATGTAGGTAGGACACTGTGACCTGGGATCTAGACACCACCGCTCCTGACTCCAATTCCAGTCTTTCCACTAGATAGGGGTTCCCATGGGACCCGTGCTGGTATGTGTTCAAGATGACAGCACAGAGTTCCAAGGTGGACTAAGGTGAGATCAGCCTTCCTACAATACATGTGAGCTATTAAAACTTTCACAAAGACCTTCACGATGCCACCAATTTCGGACTGTATAACAGCACTTCCTGAGACTGATTAGTGATAAAAATCTGCTTTTGCAAGGATTATATTTTCCAGCATGGCACTGGATATTGCATATTGGGTGGAACAGGTTGGTATTCAAACTGGGTGGGAGGGGCTGCTGGTTACGGTTTGCCATATGTCTAATTACACAGTCCACAGACCCTTGCCTCTCTTGTCCCTGCTCCTGAGTCCATTAGGGAAAGGTCAGGTATTGTCAGCCTGGACCTTGCTCCACCTGAACAGGTGTATGCTAAGGACAGGTCCCCGGATGCTGCCCAGGGCACACAGGGGCCAGGGAGCAGTGGGCAGTCACTTGGCAAAGTATCTCTCTGTTCCCAGGGAAGGAGAGGCCCGCCCCACCTAGAAACTGTGCTTGGTGGAGTTTGGAGAAGTCACGCAGCAGAGTCGTCCTGTGAGAATGGAAGGTTCAAACTCCCCAGAGTTTTGCCCTGTTGTCACGGGCCAACCATGGCTGCGTGTTTGTGAGCCATGAGCATGAGCACATGAGTGTACTGGACTGATGTTGCCTCTCTGTTTGGGCTGGCGACAGATGTGTCCTTTTCTCTCGCTTTGCCTGTGATCCCCACACAGCACTTGAGATGGGTGTGGCCTTCCAAGATGTCAGTCAGTCTGCTGACAGCAAGATACCACAAAGCTAGACTCAACCCCCTGAAACCTGACCCCACCCATTGGGGTGGAACTTTCTCCAGTGTCTCAATCAAAAAAGGGCTTCAGAACGTCCTCTCTCTCTTTTTTCTTCTTCTCTTTTGGGAGCTGGAACAGAGGAACCATCACTGAAGAATCCCAAGAAAAAGGTATTTTCTCTATCTCAGTGTGGTCATTTTGTGCCAACCCCAAATCACCTGGAGTGATGCTGGATGACTTAGTCACATGTCACAGCACCCTATAACTCTTATTCTGCTAGTCCCCACTGTTGGAGGGACTACAAACTTAACTGCAGTTCTAAAAGCACCATGTGTTTAGTTTTTTCCTAGCAATTCCTTTCAAACCAGTGTTAGAATCGCCACTCAGCCCCTTGCCTTGGTGGAGGAACACAGTGCTCCAGCGTGGGGGAGGCTGGGTGGGAGAGAGGGCAGGGGAGGCTGTGAATTCCTTTTGCACCATGATCATTGCTATCCACAGAAGAGGAGTGCAGGTCATGAGAAACCCAGATGATTGACAGGTTTCCTATGTATGAGTTATTTTAAAAGATTAGCTCCATTCTTATAAGTGATCCAACAACAGAGATTATTTTGCCTCTTATTTGGTCACACTGGCTGGAAACGTGTCTCTTTCAAGACTTGCTGATTCTTTCTTCTTAACTGTGGGAACAAAATAAGGGACAGTGAGGCCACCGCACCACCAAAGACCAGGGGCCTCTGCTCACCATCATCAAATCCCCCCTCCTGGATTCTATTACAGCACCTAGCAAAATAGGACACCACCCCAAGTCCTCAACCAGTGTGGGACAATATTTATGGGCATCCTGGGAGGTAAAAATTAACCCCCTGATCCTTCAGGCTCTTCTGTTGTGGAAGACACAATAGGGCTGGTCCTGAGGATAAGGATTCCATCACTCTGGGCCGGGGCCTGATGGGTTTTGCACCAACAAAGCTCCCAGGAAGGCTAATGCAGGGGACCGTGGCCTGGGAGGGAGGGGTAATGCCAGCACCTGAACAAGTCCAATTCGTGGAACTTCCCCTGCACTAGGGGAATTTAACAGTGGCCCTTTGGCCTCATTAATGTCTGTTTCCCTTTGTTTGAAGCAAGGAGGAAGAAGAGAAAAGGGAGGGGCAGGGGCAGGGGCAGCACTTGGGGTCCCTGACCCCCCTTCTAGAGTACTTTGAGCAGTACCACATAACTTCCATAAGTAGATAGGTTTCTCCTCTTTGCTCAAAATTCTCAGGAATGAAGCCGGGCGCGATGGTGCCCTCCTTTAATCCCAGCGGCTTGGAAGACTGAGGCAGGAGGGATCACTGGTTCAAGGCCAGCCTCGGCAATTTAACGAGGCCCTAAGCAACTTAGGAAAACCCTGTCTCAAAAGAAAAAGGGCTGGGGATGTGGCTCAGTGGTTACACACCCCTGGATTCAGTCCCTGGTCAAGGGGGAAAAAAATCTCAAGAATGGAAATGAAAAACTGAAAGCTGTGGACTATTGATAGGAAGGTTATCACCTAACATGAACTATCTGAACAAGGCAAATTCTAATCTAGAAAAACAGGATGGTTGCAACCACAGTAAAACAGGGACACATACAAACACACATGCCCTACCCACAGCGTGAGTCCCCAGCGAACACTGTCTACTTTGAGCTATTCAGGAAGATGCCTTAATATCCCAATGCGACCATAAACCATTGAATTATGTACTTCACATGTGTGGGGTTTATGGTCTTTATCTCAATAAAGCTTTTTAAAATAAATGATATTTTTTTAAAAAACGATCCCAATGCAAGCAGCTACCTTCTAGACCTATCCTTCAAAGCATATTACATTATGATATTGTACTTTCCAAAGTGGCTCACAGAGGACAGCCACTCTTCTCAGACAAGAGACTTGCAAGACTGGAAGTAAAGAGAAAGCACTCCTTTCCCCAATTATTACAGGGGACTCCATATCCAGAGAAACCATACAACTACAGAACACCCAGAAATAACAGATAAAATATTTTTAATTGTAGATGGACATAATACCTTTATTTTATTTATTTTTATTTTTAAATGATGCTGAGAGTGGAACCCAGCACCTCACACATACTAAGCAAGAGCTTTACTGCTGAGCCACAACCCCAGCCCCAACAGATAAAATATATTAAATCTCCTTTAAGATGAATATCTAAGCTGGTGGGAAATGAAGAGAAATTCCTGAACTCTCAAAATAATAAAAAAGGAAGAATGCAAGTCTATCCCAGGGGAACAATAGCACCAGAAATGAGGTCTGACCTGGGTGCATTCTCTGATCCTTGGTGGTCTAGGGATCCATAAATATTTTTTTCCTGTAAAAATAAATAAATATGTTAAAGGTAACACATATTTAAGGCTTCATAGGCCACATATGAGTTTTGTTACTTTCCTTGATGTTGTTTTAAGAATCATTTAAACATGTGACACCCATTCTTAGCTTAAAGACCCTACAGAAGGATACTGCAGGATGGGTCTGGGATGCTCCTCTAAGGAACAGAAACCAAGCTCAAGGTCAGAACCTGAGACCTGGTATAAACCGCACCCGCAAAAGCTGATGCCCTGAATGTTTTCTCTCATATGTGGAAGTTAGACCAAAATAAGGGGAGACGGGGGCATGGGTTGCATATCATAAAGACACAGGGAAGATCAATGGAGAAGAAGAAAGAGAGGGAGAGGGAGGAGGAGGGATGGGAAAGGGGAGGAAATGCAGAATGAATCTAAAAACATCATGCTCTGTGCATATATAAATATACCACAGGGAATTCCACCTTTGTGTATATGTAAAAAGAAACAAATAAAATAAATACATAAGCCAGCAAAAGGAAGATCAATAGAGTAGAAAAAGGAGAATGGGGGAGGGAGGTGGGGAAGGACGTAGGGGAATAGGAACTGAAATAGAGTAAGTCAAATTTCATGCATGTAAGATTTGTTCAAAATGAACCCAACTACTATGTATAACCAAAATGCTCTAATAAAAAAAAAAAGCACTCCCTTGATGGGTAAATTATTTTAAAATATCCCTATCTGAGGAGGTAGTCAGTGTTCACCAGCGCTGCCTGGGTTCTAGATAAAGTGAGGAAAAGACCATGCCTCTCCCACCCTCTGTGGTCCCCTAACCATTCACAAGCTCATAGGTAACAAACCAGCAGAATCCAACT